CACTCACTGCTGTCTCTCAGTCTGTCCTGTAGTGCACATGGAGTGGGCAGTTGTAAATCCACGCCTTACCTTCACAGACAGGGCAGCACTGTCCTGGAAGGTTGATGGGATGTCTGCAGCCTGGACTGTAACATGGCCTCCTTGAACAGCTGACAAAACCACTGATACACTCACAGCGACTGCAGGGGTCAAGGGGGCCAGGAAATTCCTGACCATTCAGGTACTCCTCTCCCATGTAATTACACCCTGGAGCACAAAAGCAGAGATAGGAATCAGGAGATAGGACAGTAAAGAGAGGCCACATCTTCAACGTGTGATAGAACATCACACTGAGGGAAAGCTGGTGAGAAACCCTGCATCAGAATGACCAGGAATCCTTTATCAGCCCCTCCATCGAAAGATAACTAAAAACTCCGCAGAATCACCCTCCCTCCTCCAGCCAGGTTATATCAAAGTCTGCAAAGCACAGAAATAGCCCCTTCAGTGTGATTAGTCCACATTAGGTTTCACAAGCCATCTCCCAGTCTTCATTTAATCTCATCAATAGCTCCTTCCCATGTGCAGGATACTCCCTCAAAGCAGCGAACAGCCCCCTAAGGAAGGGTGGCAAATCTCCCAGCATCAGGAAAAAATTCCCAAACCATTGGCCAGTGTGATGACGGTGACAGGGCAGTGTCTGATCACTCAGCTTATCTCCCTGGGAAGATGGAAATCATTTTTGCTAATGAGTGAAGGTTGAAGGTGAATGGAGAAACCATGAGCTCTCACTTTCTGGTGCATACCGTCACAGACTCTGCAGCAACGTCCCTGCATAGGGAAGGGACACTCCAGCACAGGGCATGGGTTTCTTTCACAGGAGACACTGCCTTCCCTGCACACACACACGTTACAGCTGTCCGACACATCAGCAAACTGTTCTCCATTGGCAAACTCCTTCCCACCGAACAGGCAGCCTGGAACAAGCCAAGAAAGATCACAAACTACAGGCACTGATTGACAGACATACCCCACACACCCACACAGGCTCATTTCCCAATTCCCCCCCCCCCCCCCCCCCCACCCCTCGTCTCCCCTCTCAAGACCCCAGTGGTAACACCCCGATGCTCCCCCACCTAGTGAATGGTACTTACCATCACAGGTCCGGCAACAATCCTGCAGGATGGGGTGTGAGCACTGCACGGGGGCACACGGCTTCCTCTGACATGTGATGGTGCCGTTATTACATATACAGGAACGGCAAGCATCAGAGGGGTCATAGAAACGCTGCATGTGCTGGTAAAGAATGCTATCGTAAAGGCAATCACTCGGGGGTGCTAGAGCAAAGAGAACTGGACATTAATACATGTGACTACAGTCAACTTCAAACTGAACTACAGACTCAGCGCCCTTCACTGTAACATCAATATCACCCACTCACATCACCATAACAGCCACATAGTCCAAGTCCTATCATAACATCCTCATAAATGACCTGGATGAGGGAACTGAATGCACTATTTTGAACTTTGCTGAGGAAATTGAACTGGGCTGGATTGGGAGTTTTGAAGAGGATGGTGAGGCAGCATCAGCATGATTTCAACAGGTTGAGTGAATGGGCAAACACATGGCAGATGCTGTGCAACATGACTAAATGTGAAGTTATATTGTTTTGAAAAACAGAGCAGTAGAGTATTCGTTAAATGGAGGTAGTTTGGGACATGTGGATGTGCAAAGGAATGAATGTCCTTGCACACCAGTCAACGAAAGTAGCTTGGTAGGTGCAGCAAGCAATGAGGAATATGTAAGGTATATCAACTTTCATTGCAAGTGGATTTGAGTTCCAATGTAGGGATGTTGTACTGCAGTTATAAAGGTGGGACCACATCTGGAATACTGCTTGCAGTTTTGGTCTCTCTCCTAAGGAAAGATATAGTTGCCATAGAATGTGTGCCGCAAAATTTCACTTAGTCTGATACAGGGCTGCCAGGGTAGTGGTATGAGGGGGAACGAGATCAATTTGACCTGCATTCACTAGATTTTACAAGATTACGAGAGGATCTGATTGAAATGTAATACTTTCTAACAGGGCTAGTCAGACTAGCTGCAGGGAGGATGTTTCTCCTGGTTGAGGAGTCTAGACCCAGCGTGGATGCATTTTAGGGCTGAGATCAGGAAAGATTTTGTCACTCAAAGGGCAGTGAACCTGTTGAATTCTTGACCACAGAAGGCTGTGGAGGCCAAGACACTGTATATATTCACGGAAAAGATCAATTAATATTTAGATTTAAAGGGCATCAAGGGGTATGGGGTGAAAGTGAAAATATGGCATTGAGCTAGAGGATCACTCGTGATCATACTGAATGGTGGAGCAGGCTCAAAGCACTGAATGGCTTACTCCTGCTCTTAGGCTCTGTTTAATACGGGCATTCTCCACTGTAACGCTGATATACCCCACAACCTTCAACAGAACAATAATATATGGACAGCCTTCACAGTAATTCAAATATATCATACTGTAACACTGATATACTCCACAGCCTTCACCAAGTTAGCAGTATATCATCCATCTTTCATCGTAACACCAATACACCACTCACAGCTTTGTAACATTTGGGATAAGCCAAAACTTTCACCATAAACAAAAACCCCATACCCGTCAGAAAAACTCTCAAATATATCCGATATGCCTCAGCCTGGTAACTGATTCAGTCCACGCTCCTCAATATGACCCACACCCCTCAGTACAACTCCTCAATATGCCCCAAACTCCTTGATATACCCTATATATCCCTTGCATAACCTCTTGATGATGTACCCCACATCCGTCAGTGTAACAGTCTGGTCCATCTACACTTTTGCAGCTCTTCTGCACTCCTTTGAAGGGAAGCTCACACCCACCTGGACACTGAAGACAACATTTTCCACGTACGCGGAATGGCTCACTGCAAGACACAGGGGGACATCTCCTGGACAGGCATTGCACGTTTCCATTCTGCACAGAGAACCGAGGGTTAGGGATGAGTGAGGAATAGATTGGGTGGTGCTTCCAGAGATTGGGTTCCAAAATGTGCAGGAGTGAGAGATTCGGAAGGGAAATGGAGGGAGAGACATTGAAGGATTGGTGGTGGAGAAATAGAGAGAAGGACACCAATGAATTGGAGAAAAATAGAGTGACAGACTGAGATGCTGGAGAAAGCAAGAGATTGCAGAGAGAAAGAGACAGACAGAGAGACCGAGGGATTGGAAAAGGAGAGAGAGAGATAGAGTGAAAGGTGTGGAGGAGGGGGAGATAAATGAGAAACAGAATGGTTCTCCATTGTGATCAAACTAGCTGAAAAAGAGTTTTGCCTTTTTCGACCAGGATCAATATTCTCTCCATACTCACAATGCAGTGACACTCCTTACACTTGTTAGTGGGGTGTGGAAAGTCTGCTCCATTGGGATACTCCTTGCCGGCAAACTGACAACCTGCAGAGAGGGACATGCACACAGATTGTTCAAAATGATCCCTGTACATTCTCGGGAATTGTTCACACAGCACCCACCATCGGAGTCACACTCCAGAACATTCTCTTCTGCTCCCCTTTATCAATTTTTCCCACCACCCTCTGGCCATTTTCCCTTACTTTCACCAGTCAGTCTGCAGACCAATGATAATTTCCTTGCCCATGATCTGATCCTCTGTTTCCACCCCTGCCCGCCCCTCAGTCAGGCTTTTCGAAGGCTCAGTGCCCAGGCTGTTACCGTTGCAGTTGTTATGACAGCAGGACCCTGACAGAGGGTAGGAACACAGGGCGCTGATACAATCCTTCTTCTCACAGGTCACTTGGCCATTCAAACAGGTACATTCCTGGCACGGATTCACAGGGTTCGGGAACCGCTGGCCATCCAATAAAATTCGTTCCTCAAACACACAGTCTGTAGATATAAACACAAGGGTCCCATTACAAAGGTGTTTACCTTATCCTCAACTTCCTATCAGTGTTCACACTGTCTACTACCCACTCCATCATTGGTAGTGTATGGTAGTCAGTCAGCACCTGGGGGACCGTACCCCAGTGGGAGTCCGTGCCTGTGGGACCGTACCCCAGTGAGTCAGCGCCTGTATGACTGTACCCCAGTGAGAGTCAGCGCGTGTGCGACTGTACCCCAGTGAGAGTCCGTGCCTGTGTGACTGTACCCCAGTGACAGTCAGCGCCTGTGCGACTGTAGCCCAGTGAGAGTCCGTGCCTGTGGGATTGTACCCCAGCGTGCCTGTGGAATTGTACCCCAGTGAGAGTCCGTGCCTGTGGGATTGTACCCCAGTGAGAGCCCGCGCCTGTGGGATTGTACCCCAGTGAGAGTCCGTGCCTGTGGGACTGTACTCCAGTGAGAGTCCGTGCCTGTGCGACTGTACCCCAGTGAGAGTCAATGCGTGTGCGACTGTACCCCAGTGAGAGTCCGTGCCTGTGGGATTGTACCCCAGTGAGAGTCCGTGCCTGTGGGACCGTACCCCAGTGAGAGTCCGTGCCTGTGGGACCGTACCCCAGTGAGAGTCCGTGCCTGTCTATCACTGGACCCTGTCTATTAACGTTTGAAGGGTCACTGGACCCGAAACATTAAAATCTGCTTTTCTCTCCACAGCTGCTGCCAGATCTGAGGAGTTTCTCCGGCAACTTTTGTTTCTGTTTGTGTTTGTTTCAGATCTCCAGCATCCGCAGTGCTTTCTTTGTTCCTTTGTTTTGGAGGTTTCTAACAAGCTGCAATTGTTTAAGATACACTTTGTTGCCAGACAGTCTCCTGAAATCACTGCAGCTCCTTGGTGTTTCCTGGTTACTACCTGCCCACTCACTGTCTGATTAATATCAATGATCTACTCTCAACCCCACAGTCGCCCTCACCTGGACACTTTGCACAGCACTGCCCTGCTTTTCTCTCCGGATGTGTGCAGGTTGTTGGGGGGCAGTCGGTCTGTGCACAACGCACTGTTCCGCTCTGTCAGGAGACAAAACATTGTGTGATTTAAGGGCAACTCAGACCATTCCTAAAGCAGGCACCTGTTCCAGACTGTTCAGCATTCTCATCTTTAGACCCCCATCCCTGAGTACTTAATGCTTCAAGGAGATTCCTGGATAGAATTTGATTGCACAGACACAAATATACAGACACACACACTCCAGCACGTAGCAAGTCCAGCTAAAGAGGGCACAGAACTGCATCCGGAGATAGTAGGAACTGCAGATGCTGGAGTCTGAGATAACAAGGTGTAGAGCTGGATGAACACAGCAGGCCAAGCAGCATCAGAGGAGCGGAGCAGAGGAGCTTTTCTGATGAAGGGTCTAGACCTGAAACGTCAGCTTTCCTGCTCCTCTGATGCTGCTTGGCCTGCTGTGTTCATCCAGCTCTGCACCTTGTTATCACAGAACTGCATCCCTTGCTGTTTGTGGTACATATTAACGATCTGGACAAGATCAAGAAGTTTGCAGACTGTACAGAGCTTGGTCATATGCCAAAATTGAGGGAGAGAGCTGTGGGTCGCAGGCAGGTATCAATGAAATGGTCAGATTGGCAGAAATGTGGCAAATGGAATTGAACCTGGAGAAGAGTGAGGTGATGCATTCGGGGAGGTCAAACAAGGAAGACACAATTAATGGGAGAATATTGTGAGGCATAGAGGACGTTCTGGACCTGACAGTGAATGCCCATACATCCCCGATGTTAGCTGGACAGGTTGATAAGGGATTAAGAAGGTATGTGGAAGACTTTCTGTCATTAGCCAAAGAACAGAATATAGAGCAGGGAGATTATGCTGGAACTGTATAAATCATTAAATATGTCGCAACTTGAGGACTGTGTGCAATTCTGGTCACCACATTACAGAAAGGATGGAATGTGAACTAGAGAGGGTACAGAGGAGATTTATGAGGATGTAGCCAGTACAGGAAAAATGCAGTTACAAGGAAAGCTTTTGTAGGTTGGGGTTGTACTTCCTGGAACAGATGAGGCTGAGGAGCGATTTATTGCCATGTACAGAAGTGAGAGGACCTTGCATGGAGAGGATGGGTGGGGCCTATTTACCTGGGCAGTGGTCAGTGACAAGGAGGAACTGATTTAAAGTGACTGGTAGAAGAATTAGAGGGGAGACAAGGAAAGAATTTTTCACCTAGAGGGTGTTAGGGATTTGGGACTCAGTGTCTGAATGGTTTATGGAGGCTGAAACCATCAAATCAGGTAAAAAGGGGTCTAGATATGCTTCACATGTGACATAACCCACAGAGTTATGGATCATAGAACATAGAACATAGAACACAGAACAGTACAGCACAGTACAGGCCCTTCGGCTCACGATGTTGTGCCGAACTTTTGCCCTAAACCTAAGGTCTATCTAACCTCCACCCCTACCTTATACTATCATCCATATGCCTATCTAATAGCCGCTTAAATGCCCCTAGTGAGGCCAACTCCACTACCCTGTCCGGGAATGCATTCCATGCCCCGACCACTCTCTGAGTAAAGAACCTACCTCTGACGCCTCCCCTATATCTACCTCCACTCACTTTAAAACTATGCCCCCACGTAATAGCTACCTCCACCCGAGGAAAAAGTCTCTAGTTGTCCATTCTATCTATACCTCTGATCATTTTGTACACCTAACGTTGGAAACGATCAAACGTTGGAAATGTGATTAGTCTGTGATAATCTCTGCAAGTCCCATTGGGAATCACTGATTAATATCCTTGCGGAGCTCAATGAGCATGAATTTCCTTGGTAACAGGCAATGGTCTGCCCTGCTGAAACTTATCACCTGAGTGCTTTGGGATGGCTCTGCAGAGCTGTCTGTCCTGGCCTGGGACTGGCCTACATACGCCACAAGCTCTATTTTGGTGTTCAACAATAAATGATGTTCCCTTCGAGTTGGATTTCCTGATTTATTATAATCTGAATGGCTTGTTTCTTAGCTGCCGCAGACATAATCAGACAAGAGGCCCCTTTCTGTGCTGTAAACTTTCTATCATTCTGCCATATAGACACACACAGGCAGACCCACTTCCATAGGAGATTGACAAGGAGCATGAAATAGGCTTACCTGGCAGTGACAGTTCTGGCAAGGATCGTCTGGGTCAATAAACTCCTGCCCATTCCTGTACTGTCGCTTGTTGTATGTGCATTGGTCACACGATGGACAGCAATGTCCTACAAAACAAATTCCCAGAAAATTAGGTCAAAGATCCACACAACAACTACCTCCAACTCTGAGCCTGCTACCGCACCCTTGACCCTTTACCAGCACAGTGATCTGTCATCCATCCCATCACCCACTCCAAGATATCTCCCAACACACCAATTATATGTCTATCTCTACACATAATCCCTGACTCTACATCTACCCTTCTCCCCCGATGACCCCGTCTTGTCTCAGTAGCTGTACCCGTGATGGATGTGCTGGCATTTATTTGGTGAGTTTGGTATTAGATTGACTGGGACACGTACCGTTGTTTGAGCCTGGGTGTAGACAGGAGACAGGCGGGCATTGCTTGGGTCTGCAGGTGACATTACCATTGACACAGGTACAAGTAGTGCACGGACTCTCCTCCAGTTCCCATTCTGCTCCATCTTCATACTCTAGCCCCTGCACGATACACACTGATGGAGGAAAAACACACACACACACAACATATACACACACGCAACTAAATATAAATGTAACAACAGAGTTACACAGACTCAGGATCTGGGGCTCAGGGTCAGATCCAGCTCAAACGGGTTAGGTTATTTTCACTCATTTGCCAGTAAACAATGTACCTCAAAACTAATGGACATATTTCAATGAAATTCAGAACACAGGCAAGGCAAGGAGGAGTGAATTAGATTTTGGCCAAGATCCACATGTATATCCTAATGTTTTTTGATGCTCCATCAACATTGGAAGATATGGAGAATTTTCCAGATTGTCTTCTTTAGCAGATTGTTGATCAGGTTTTGAAATGTGGTGGAATTTGTCACAGCTCCCAGCATGAGAGTAGACTGTTCAGTGCAGATTGTTGGAAAATCCCTGAAGCCGCCTCAGTGAGATTGATGCTGTTAAGTAACAGATTTCTTTCATCTGCTTTGTAGTTAAGAGCATCATCCTGGCAAGGAAAATCCTTTGGGAAGAACTGCGTATTTGTAATAATTGTAAAGACCAGATATTTTATTATCTTTCTTTACGTCGGGGCCACAATGGGAAAATGCAACTGTTTTAAACCGAGGACTGTGGAAAAATTGCTGCACTTTTGAAAAACAAGTTACTGGAACTCATTCTGAGTTGTCTTTACACTGTTGTTTTGTTCAGACAGCGGGGAAGATGGACAATCGACGTCTCCTGTGGATGTGGGTTCACAGAATCTTCACTCAGAGATGGACTGCTGACTAGTTTCTCCATTAGAGTGACTTGTGTGGACTAGGAGGTTATCAGCATATCAATAACTCTGATTGGCTCCTGGTGGGGAGTGTATGCGCACGCGTGTGTGTGTGTGTCTCTCTGTCTGTGTCTGAGTCTGTGTATGAATGCATGTGCACCTGTGTGTGTATGTGTCTGTGTATGTGTGCCTGTGTATGCGTGCATGCACCTATCTGCCTGAGTGCTCACGTGTGTGTGTGTGTGTGTGCGCCTGTGTGTGTCTCTGTCTGCGTTTGTCTGTGCCTGCGTATGTGTGCGTGCGTGTGCGCCTGCGCCTGTATGCAGCAGAAGGTCTCCAGACTGCAAGAAAGAGCATTTCTCTTTCTCTCTCTCCGCAGTGAAGTAACCAAAAGCTGAAAGAAAGCTAGCTGATCTCTCCCAACATTTGCTATAAGCTATTGCCTATAACCTGTGACAGAGAAATTGAACAGTTTAATAATCTGTTCCTTCACTAAGAAGAAACTGCAAGGATTTGGATGGGAAATTCAGAGGAAACAAAAACTTGGAAGAACATAGAACATAGAACATTACAGCGCAGTACAGGCCCTTCGGCCCTCGATGTTGCGCCGACCTGTGAAACCAATCTGAAGCCCATCTAACCTAAACTATTCCATTATCATCCATATGTTTATCCAATGACCATTTAAATGCCCTTAAAGTGGGCGAGTCTACTATTTTTGCAGGCAGGGCATTCCACGGCCTTACTACTTTCTGAGTAAAGAACCTACCTCTGACATCTGTCCTATATCTATCACCCCTCAATTTAAAGCTATGTCCCCTCGTGCTAGCCATCACCATCCGAGGAAAAAGGCTCCCACTGTCCACCCTATCTAATCCTCTGATCATCTTGTATGTCTCTATCAAGTCACCTCTTAACCTTCTTCTCTCTAACGAAAACAGCCTCAAGGCCCTCAGCCTTTCCTCATAAGACCTTCCCTCCATACCAGGCAACATCCTGGTAAATCTCCTCTGCACCCTTTCCAATGCTTCCACATCCTTCCTATAATGCGGTGACCAGAACTGTACGCAATACTCCAAGTGCGGCCGCACCAGAGTTTTGTACAGCTGCAACATGACCTCATGGCTCCGAAACTCAATCCCTCTACCAATAAAACCTAACATACTGTACGCCTTCTTAACAACGCTATCAACCTGGGTGGCAACTTTCAGTGATCTATGCACATGGACACCGAGATCTTTCTGCTCATCCACACTACCAAGAATCTTACCATTAGCCCAGTACTCTGTATTCCTGTTACTCCTTCCAAAGTGAATCACCTCACACTTTTCCGCATTAAACTCCATTTGCCACCTCTCAGCCCAGCTCTGCAGCTTATCTATGTCCCTCTGTAACCTGCAACATCCTTCCGCACTATCCACAACTCCACC